CGGCGGCGCACGCCTTTAATCCCAGCACTCGGGAGGCAGAGCCAGCTGAATCTCTGTGAGTTCGAGGCCAGCCTGGGCTACCAAGTGAGTTCCAGGAAAAGGTGCAAAGCTACACAGAGAAACCCTGTCTCAAAAAACCAATATATATATATATGAATCCAGCATTGAGAACTGTCTAGATCTCTAGGAAACTAGGTGAAAAGAGATTGTAGGAATGAGAGCCAGAGTGTGGTCCTGTGGGACATTCTCACGTGGGAATTGCTTCCTCCCATTCCCCCTCCCAGCAGCTGACAGGTTGATGCTCAGGTGAACTAGTATTTCACAAGGATCCCTCCAGCTAATTCCAAGGCCCAGTGGCTTCCAAGCTCAGCAAAGATTAAGACCAGCATCTGGGTAACCACAGCTTCCAAAGACAGGCCCTACCCAAGGAGCTGGCATCCAAAAATTACATCCCAGCTGATAACAGGAGACGCGTTCCTGGTGCTAGGCTAGTAATTAAGTTACAAGGTGATTATTAGTGTGCTCAGGCAGGAAGCTCACAGCTGACTACTGTAAGTAGCCCAAGATTCACAGTCCTTCTAGAAAGAGAATAACCTGTAACTAAATTAATAGCATTTCCTACCAATTATAGATGCCCTTCAGTGACTATCCAGTTGTCATGGCAACATGCCCACTGAAAAGGTACCTTCGATGAGTCCTGAAGAAAAGGCTTTAAATCTTATCTCTGCGTCAGACCAAAATTGTTTTCTTGGAGTGGGGAGGAGACAAGTGAACTTTCGCCAGCTTATTCCCTGTCCAAGGCCCCAGGCTGGCTGAGCACGCAGACACTGCTCTATGCGTCTCCTACATTGTTCCCATGGCTGGGGACAGTCTCCAAGTTAAGTCGGCCAAAAGGCATTTCTCCTTATCTTTCTGAAAATTCCTTTTCTTCTTCTAACAGGCAGCTGGGTAACCTCCAGAGCAGTTTCAGTCCAGTGGCTTACACAGAAATCCTTCAAGAGCTTCACACACCCTTCGTTTCAGCTCCATGAAAAACAGCCGATTCCTACAAAAGGTGTTAGTGCTGAGCAGTGCTGGGAATAGGCTGATGCCACAGGAATGTTCCAGAAGAGTTGCCAGTGAAGCAAAACTCCACCAGTCCAACCTGATGCTGCTCATGCCGCATGAGCAGTTTGAAAAAGCTGTGCATGCTTACTGTTTTGGTAAAAGGATTCATCTCATAAAGGGTCCTTTGGTGTCCACGCCTATCATAGGTATATCTTAGAACTGGAAGTGCTGTCTCTAGCCCTTTCTGGAAAGAGTATGGTGTAAACAAATCTGATAACTCAAACTGTTGGAAAAGTAACAGAATTGGCATGTGCATGTGTACCTCATGTTTTGAAGGAAATGTGGGGAAGCCAGCAGTCATTCCTCATTGTGCTGAATGAACCCCCAGAGGTGAGGTGAGGGAGATAAGGGTTCTGTGTTCTTAGATCGGGGCCCAGATGGGAACTTGTGGACTAGGCCATCCAGCACTGTGTGGTGGAATTGCCCTGTAACAGCAACTCCAACTTCCTCTTCCTGGGTCATAGAATAAAGCTCAAATTGGTCATATTTTTGTTCCTCTTCCCATAAAGTCAGATAACAGCCAGGCCTGGTGGCACATGCCTTCAATTCCTGTGCTTGGGAGGCAGAGGTAAGTGGATCTCTGTGAATTCGAGGCCAGTCTAAACTAAGACGTAGTGAGTTCTAGGCTGTAGTGAGTTCTAGGCTGTATAGAGAGATCCTATCTCAAAGAAGCAAAAGAAAACACAAAGATAAAGGCTAGCCCCACTCTCCATGGTGTGGCTCTCCCTCTCTCCTTTAATGCTTATAAACCTACTGAGATGTGATCCGTGGTTTCCCCACTTTATGGAGGAAATGGAAGCTCAGAGTAATTATGTTTGTCCAAGGTCAAGTGCTTATAAAGATTTGATGTCTTCTGAGTCGAACCTTGAACCAGCTGCACATCACTAACTTGACCAGCTTCATTCTGCCTCCTTCTTTGATTACGTTCCCTTCCCCTGACATTTCCCACACCTCAGCTCCTGCCAGTTGCCCCTGGAAATGCTACCCATGCACCACCTCCACAGCATCCTTCCTCCACCTCCACAGCATCCTCCACCATCTCCACAGCATCCTTCCCATCCCAAGCACATTCAGGTGCCAAGGCTTGTCCTGTCCACATTGTGCTGTGGATCTATCCCTGCCACCTTATCCTTTGTTTCCTTCTTTTTAATTAATTTCAAAATAAAGTTTTGTTTATTATTATCATGAGTGCATGATATGCATGTGTATGGGGGGTTCGTGGCAATGAAGGTTACAGGGCAGCTTTGTGGAGTCAGCCCTCTCCTCCTCTTGTGTGGGGTCTAGGGATGGAACTCAAGTTGTTGAGCTTACATGCCAAGTGCTTTGTGTAGCTGGAGATTTCTCCAGTCCTGCTTGGCCCACAGTCAGGACAAATCTCTCACCCGCCAGTCCCGCAGCCGCTCAGACCCAACCGAGTAAACACACAGAGACTTACATTGCTTACAAACTGTATGGCTGCAGCAGGCTTCTTGTTATCTAGTTCTTATATCTTAAATTAACCCATTTCTATTCATCTATAAGTTGCCACATGGCTTGTGGCTTACCGGTATCTTTTACATGTTGCTTGTCATGGTGGTGGCTGACAGTGTCTCTCTGCCTCAGCCTTCCACTTCCCAGAGTTCTCCCCTCTGCTTGTCCTGCCTATACTTCCTGCCTGGCTACTGGCCAATCAGTGTTTTATTTATTAACCAATCAGAGCAACACATTTAACATACAGAACATCCCACAGCAGCTTTGCCTGCTGAACGTCTCACTGGCCCCACTCTAGCTTTTGAGGAGCAACTTCGGCCCAACAACCACTCTGTTATAGTATATACTTGTTTTTAATTTGATTTTTCCCCTTGGTTCTGGGACTAGAATCCAGGTTTTTGGTGCAAGTGCTAGTTCACTGAGTTATACCCCTAACTCTGAATTTGAATCTTATATTGCCATTTCTGTTTAAAATATGTCTGTCTTCTGAACTGTGAGGTTCCTTAGGCCTACATTAATGCACATTTTAATGTGTAACTGTCATTCTTGATGACTTAGAACAAACATATGCTAGATGCTAAAAACTGTCATTTAAATAATTCTTCAGGTGTTGTCTACAAAGACAGTATGAATACAGAAAGTATCCTTTTAATTTTATTCAGTGACTAAAGTAGGATGCGGACTGCATACAGTGACATTTCAACTACTGTACTACACATAATAAACTACTCATTTTAAAAAGGAGGCTCGTATGTGATTGTAATCCCACTAGGAAGGCATAGGCAGGAAGATGAGGAATTCCAGACCATCGTTGGCTGCACAGCCAGTTGGACTCTAGATTTACACACACACACACACACACACACACACACACACACACTATTTGGGGAAGAAGTGGACCAGTGGAAGTGTCAAGAGGACACAGGCGGTAATTAACAGTGAATATAAGCCGAGAACAACAATACATATGTATGAAAACACATCACAACAAAGCCCACTGTTTTGTATGCAAATTTATTTTCTAATGTGTATGTGCATGTGCATATGTGGACAGGTAAGGCACATGTGTGGCTTTTCACAGAGACCAGAAGAGAGAGTTGGGTCCCCTGGAGATGGAGTTACAGGCAGTTGTGAGCCCCTCACCACGGGTGCTGGGTGGGGGTCTGAACTCCGATCCTCTGGAAGAGCAGCAAGTACGCTGAGCCATACTTCCAGCTCCTTTACGTGTGAATTTCTTTTTTTTTTTTCTGAGACAGGGTTTCTCTGTGTAGTTTTGGTGCCTGTCCTGGAACTTGCTCTGTAGACCAGGCTGGCCTCGAACTCACAGAGATCCGCCTGGCTCTGCCTCCCGAGTGCTGGGATTAAAGGCATGCGCCACCACCGCCGGACTATATGTGAGCCCAAATGTGATGCACTTTCCTTTGGCTGATGGGGTAATGGCACGGGTGACCCAGGATCACTGCTCTGACACAGAATCATCTGAACATCCGGTGATGCCTCACACCTTTGAGGTTCATCCTGATATTAGTCAGGATGAAGGATACGCCCATAGCTGCCTGTAGCTGGGTGAGAGTTTGGCGGACATTGGGAGGTGCAACCTGACATTTTGAGATGTGGGATGAGATCAAGCTCCCTAGCCTTGAGATCCACAGCTCCCTCGGACCGCCAGTTCCCGACCTGCTATGGAACTCACAGCATTTCCTTCACACTTCCAATAGTTGAATCGATAACGTAGCTATTGTTCTTTGAAAATTATTCAGAGGTATGGAAGGTTCAAGGCCAAATGATTTTGCAGACAATTCAGAATAAGACTTTAGCAGACAGGATTTATAAACCAGTTGAAGGGAGAGACAGCTGGAATTTAAAGAGAGAAGGCATTTGGGGGAGAAGAGGTAGTCAGCTAGTGCCTTCAACTCCTCTCTGCACTCTAAGGTCTTTAAAGATCCGAACCCCACTTAACCTGGCACAAAGCATAGGAGGTGACCTGAGGATCAGAGAGCAGGGAGCCGTGAGTGGCACAGCAAGGCATCCAGTGACTGAGAACGAGGGAGAGGGAGGAGCCAGGTTTTCTTTCTTTCTTTCTTTCTTTTTTTAAAAAGATCTATTTATTTATTATGTATACAGTGTTCTGTTTGCACATATCCCTGCAAGCCAGAAGAGGGCACCAGATCTCATTACAGATGGTTGTGAGCCACCATGTGGTTGCTGGGAATTGAACTCAGGACCTCTGGAAGAGCAGTCAGTGCTCTTAACCTCAGAGCCATCTCTCCAGCCCATTTTCTAAGCAGTTGCCTTTCATCCTCTCTCTCCCTCCTCTTCCCCCCCCCCCTCTTCCCCATCTCTACATACTTCTTCAGCTTCCTTATCTTGGGCCTGCCCACCTTGGCCATAGGCTTTCCTTCACATTCTTGCAAGAAGAAATTGGATTGGCTCAATTCGATGGAGCCCAGTCAAGCCAGCCAATGGAGCCTTGGAACAGGTATACATCTCTGATTTAATTAGATTTGGCTACCCCTCCCAGGGGGACAATGATTCCCTTTCTTTTGAGTATGGTTTGGCAAAAAAAAAAGGATACTGTCTTGCAGAGAAATGTGGTATGTTTTTCCCCAAGCCTTCATCAAGGTCAAGAAGGGATGCTCATGTCACTGACCTGAGATCTGACCTTAAACTCTGAAGGCCCTGAAAAACGTCTGCTGATACACTGGCCTCTCAATGTCCTTGGATCTTGCCAAGCCAGGTCTGCCTGCTTTATGTTCCTGTCTTGGCTCCAGGCCTTTCTCTAAAGAGAACGACAAGCTCTTCCTGCAGTTTGAAAACTTGCCAGCTTGAAAATTCAGCCTCTTGGCCACTTAATTCCGTGGCTTCTTTTGCCAAAAGATTACAAGCTTCTTAAAGGCAGATAATCTCAGAGATCAGACCCAGTGATCTCATCTTACAGATAGAAGAACTGAGGCCCAGAGAGAGGCAATGTCACACAGTGAGATGGGTCAGGTGGTACCCAGAGCCTCACCGGTACCTTGCCGTGACTTCTGCACAGTGCGATCCCAATAGACATTCCTTGATTCACCTCTCTTTTTTTCTCTTTGGCTTCTCTCAAGTTCACAGACATTTGCTCACATCCCTTTCCCCTTCACTGACGGCCGCCTCTGGGATCGATTTGCATCTTCCTGCCAGGCAATGGTCTTTGGGGTGGTGTAATGGAAGATGAGATGAGGCAGGAGTGAAATTCAACCTGGGTCTATCAAGCTGGGATCTCTCTAGGCCAACACCACTATAACACAGGAGAGACACCAGAAGAGCACCTACCTTCCTTCTGTGGGGTTGGCAGTCACCACATCGTACAATGAGGCCACTCCAGCTCCCATCAAATGTCATGACTTTTGCAGAGTTCCCAGGCCAGCTACATCCCCAGAGCTGGGCTTGCACTGACTTCCTCCCAGTGAGAAAATTTGTGTTGCTGTGGATCCGCTTTCTTCCCCAAAGCTTTTTCTGACTGTTGTACCTCCCGGACCTTAGTTCACCAAAAGTCACCTTACAGAGTGGGGAATTTCATTCCTTTCCTACCATCTCCTGGGTATTAACGTGGACTCCCAGCTCCTGAAGGCAGCCAGCTTCCCTCCACCAGCCTTGCTGGCTTCCCCAACTGCCCTTCAAACAGTGTGAGGGGGCTGAAGGAGAAGACCCATGGTACAGTGCTCACTTAGCATGTATGCAGTCCTGGGTTCTTAGCACAGCAAAATAAATAATAGACAAATATGTAAATGTGAGGCCTGCTGGAGGTAACTCTTCACTTGGAAAAGCTGTGGAGAGAGCTGAGAGAAGGATTGGGAGGGAAGGAGCTGTATATTTATTTTACCAGCATCTTGGGCAAGTATAGATTAGGAGAAGCGACTGCTTGAACCAGAAAGATGCTGGGTTTTCATTTATAGACCATGCTGTGACAAACAGACAAACAATAAACATAACAAACAAACAAAACCCGCATTCCTGCAGTATGCAATGCCAGTGTCTTTTACTAGTCTAGGACTCTGCACTCAGCCACTTTTCTGACTTCAGTTTGCAGATGTAGCTAGAGTTTTCCTGGTCCTGCCTGGCTCACAGTTGGGACAAATCTCTCTCACCCACCAGTCCCACAGCCACTCAGACCCAACCATGTAAACACACAGAGACTTATATTGTTTACAAACTCTGTGGCTGCAGCAGGTTTCTTGTTATCTGCTTCTTCTATCTTAAATTAATCCATTTCTATTAATCTATACTTTGCCACGTGGCTTGTGGCTTCACCAGTACCTTACATCTCCCTTGTCATGGCGGCGGCTGGCAGCGTCTCTCTGACTCAGCCTTCCACTTCCCAGAATACTCTTCTCTGCTTGTCCTGCCTATACTTCCTGCCTGGCTACTGGCCAATCAGTGTTTTGTTTATTAACCAATCAGAGCAACACATTTAACATACAGAACATCCCACAGCATGCAGGTGAATGCTAGATCAACCACAACACTAGGAAGGAAGGTCCTGATTCGAGCCAAGCAAACCCAGGCCTTCACTCTATCAGAAGGACACACAAGGCCTCCCTACTCAAGTCTCCATCCCAAGCAGCAAGGCCCATCACCAGAGGCCACTTAGAAGAGTTCTCAGCAGGAAAACACAAATATGTATTTTGGAGGAGAGAGTGACTAGAAGGTCTGAGGAAGGAAGTGACAGTCTAGTGGACTGGGAAAGAGCAGGGATCCAGGATCTGAGACTATGGGAACCAGGAAGTGGTTTGATGGACACCTATGCAATGTCTCACAGCACCGTCCACTCTCCAAGGGGAGCCAGCCTGGGGCAAGGAGACAAGCATGGGGTCTTCAGGAACAGAAAGAACATTGACCTCACTCAGCTGATAGGGAAAGAGCAAAACTGGGCCAAGGTTCCCTGACGACAAAAGAACTTATTTCCCGTGTTAGGATGAAGAAGGGCTCAGGATTGGTTCCCACGATGTCAGCTCTGCTGACCTATAATTACAGAGAGAACAAAATACAAAGTCATCTTTAAAGACCAGAGAGATCTTGGTACAGGAAAGGAACTCAAACCACACTGCCCATATTTCCACAAGACAGACCCATCCACATAAAAACCCCATTACCACTGGCTCCCATAAAGCTAAGGCTATTGAGTGACTTCCTCAAGGTCACCCTGCTTGGAGGTTAAGTTAGCTACCCATGGTCATAGCTACAAGAAATCAAGCCGATATTCGAACTCAGGGTCAGGCTGACTAAGAGTTCCCTGTGTTGTGCTCCACCATGGCCCAAATGCCACAGAGCCTCCACAAGTGCTCTGTGGGGGTGTTGTGTATTCTACGCATTGTTCAGCCTCTCCTCACCTCTGAAAGGTGAGGAGACTTACAGCCAGGGCGAAGACAAAATGAGACAATTTATTCTCAGTTGCTTTGTGGGTAGGTGGCGTGCCTGTCACTGGGTGTGCAAACTCCAGCCCCGAGAGCCAGGTAAGGAAACCAGAATTTGCTGAAAGTCTGGTACTATTAGTTAATATTTTGTAAACCCAGGAAATCATCCAGATGTTGGAGCACAAAAATAACTCACTGCTGAGCCAAAGAGGCATACTGCTAAGGACAAACCCCAGGAAGTCAGGTGCACTTGTGTTCCTTTGGGAGGGGAGAGAGCATGTGGTGGGGTGGGGTGGAGGACTGTGCCTGGCACCCAGCACCACACATTCTGCCTTGGACCAGTTGTTGGTTGTAGATGATGGGCAAGGTTTCTGGGCCTGCAATGCAGCTTGTTTCTTCTTCTTCTTCTTCTTCTTCTTCTTCTTCTTCTTCTTCTTCTTCTTCTTCTTCTTCTTCTTCTTCTTCTTCTTCTTCTTCTTCCTTCTTCTTCT